AGCAGGATAATTTTTCGGCTTTTTATCTTTGGAGCTTTTTGAAATTTTTATACATTAATAAATATTTATACAAGCTGATTAATAATACAATATTTAATAAAATATGCGTATTTATGTTTTATTTTTATATTTAAAGCCCCAATACGCATTTGTTTCATATTTCTACAAAAATATCACATATCAAGTACATAGTATATAGTTATATAGTTAATAGGTATATAGTTAATCAAACCTGGTTTGTTGTATTTATTCATAACAGTTTCAAAAAACAAAAAAATTAAAATTTCTCTAAAAATAAACATAAATTATCAATATAATTAAAAATAAATTGATTGTGTTATCCATATAAAATCATCCTGTACAAATTATTATCTTTAAATTTGTATTTTTTATTAACCTAATATTTTAAGTTTTTTAGAAAAAAAATTTTTCGCCTTTTCAAATTGGGTCCTTTTTGAAATTTCATTACCTTAATACATTTATATATAACCTGGTTGATAATATAATATTAAAATATTATATATATTATTCGTATTTATGTTATAAATTGATATTTAAAGTCCTTAAACGGATTTAATACACAAATAACTCATACAAAGTACAATATATGAAGAACAATAAATGGTATAATAAGAAGTATGATACAGTAATAGAAAAAACATAATATGTATTATTTAAACAAAATAGAAAATTATACTGAAAACGGCTTGACCTAATAATATAAAATTAAGACAGCGAACAATTAAGTAGAGCTAACCAAGTGGTTGTGGCAGCTAAAGCAGGAGGAGGTAAGAGTAAGATCACAATTGCTTTATTCATTTTTAGTTTTATAACTCTTATACTAGAATATAAGAATTTGGCGACTAAGAAAACCATTTATTTTTCATATTGACCATAGTGTTTAAAAATAAAAAATTGACCACCACTAATGTAACAGTTAAATTCAATAAAGTAATTGAAACTTACGGAACGTTTGAGCCACGAATGGACATCACCATATTCGAATCTAAGCTAACAAAAATGGTTCTACATTTTTTTTTTTAATTATACGCTTATAAACAAATGGCTATTAGGGAATCCGATCGTGGATACGCGTTCGGAATAAAATCTTTGTTTGTGAATTCCAAAAGACAGTGGAAATTTCCACATCGGACATTGAAGGCATTGGAGCATTTCAGGATTATACTATAGTAGCGGGAAGTACAGTCAACGAGCATAACGGTATATTAAGTAAATAATTATTAAATGTATAATCAAATTCAGAGTTAAGAGTAAAGCTCTCAGAAATGCGAATTTATTTATTTTATTTTGGATATGACAAACGGTTGTTGATTATAAAGATAATAATGTTATTATTAATAATGACTAAACAAATATACTACAATAAATACATTTTTATAAAATAAAATAAATGAGTGCAATATGCAAAAAGTAATTATTTATTTATATACAGTTTATAAAAAAAAAAACGTTTGATTACTAGTATAATTATTTTTTAGCTGTTAACTCAAGTGGAATACTGGAATCCTCAAGTAGTTGTACATTTAGTTCTCTTTTTTGAAAATCAATGTGAAAGGCATTTACTTGCCAATATTTGCCATCAAATGATCTGTATTTAACAAAATGTTCTACTTCGCCCCCTTATAGTACTACTACACATACATCATCATTGTGTAATAAGTAATAATACGTGTTTGAAGACATTTTTAGACTAACCCACATTGCTATCAAAGTACAAATTGTCCTAACAATGAAAAATATATTAAACAGGTCATAATCTGATTGTGATACGGAGTACGGACATACGTAAAGTTTTTTTGTGCAATGTAATAAAAATACTCGGCTTTGTAGTAACGATTGAAAATATTAAGAAATACAGTAAAAAAATCAAATCTTTATACAGTCATAACTCATAACAAATGAACAAATAATTGATAATTTAAAATTATAAATAAATATATTTTTAATTTTTGTTTACAAACGTATGTAGTTAAAAACATGTTTCAATTAAAAAAAAACAAAAATCCCCCTTTTTGGATTACAAGGATTGGTAATAAAAATATTCAAGAAATTGAAAAATGTAGTACAATGTGTACCGAAAAATCATTATTTTAAAATGTATTTATTTTATTTTACATGTGACAAACGGCTGATGGTTATAAAGATAAAAATGCCAATAGTAATGATAAATAAAGAACAATACTACATAGTAATAGCAATAAATACATTTTTATAAAATAAAATAAATTAGTGAAATATGCAAAAATTAATTACTTGGTTATATATAGTTAAAAAAAAAAAACGTTTGATATCTAGTAATTTTGACTTAACTCAAGTTGAGTACTGATATCCTCGCGTAGTTGTGCATTTAGTTCCTTTATTTTAGTATCGGCATTTACTTGCCAATATTCGCCTTTAAATGATCTGTATTTGACAAAATATTCTATTTCACCCACATTTAATACTACTGCACATACATCATCATCTGTGACATAATACGTGTTTGAAGGCATTTTTAGACTAACCCACATTGCTATCAAAGCACAAATCCTTTCAACAGGTTTCTCCTTGTCAACTTCGTCAACCAAGATGATTTCAGCTAAAATATCAGAAAACCGGTGTTAAAAATAACCAAATTTAACTTACTAGCCACTACATTCCTGTGCTAAGTAATTGTGCAAGACACAATTACTAAACGTAAATAAAGAAGTTATACAATTATGTATATTATGTATAATAGTAAAAATCTCAGCATTCTGAAAAATATTATAATTTTTTTTTTTTATATAAACAAGTCCTTAAAAATGAGTTTATATTTTATAAATATGGTTTTTTTTGTTGCCCAAAATTTAAGGATTTTCTTTAGAAACCTGAAAAAAATTACATTTTATGTGTATATTTCAAACCAGGGTCTCCACAAACACGCTTAAAATCGTGGGAAAAATTCATGGAAAAGTCGAAAAAACGGGAAAAAGCGACCACAGTGATCAAAATAGTTGAAATAATTGTGAGTTAAAATAAGATAATTTCCCGTTCAAGATAATTTTGAGGGATCGATAACTATTTATTTTTAAATTAAAGAAAAATCACAAAATATAAAGTAGATAAAAAACTTTTGTTCTATTATCCATTATGAATGTGAAAAATAGATGTTATTAATTAAATAGCATGAAAACTCTATACTTATAATTACCTAGCTTTTGGGTAAGTACTTTTATTATAGCTTTTCCTGTAAGAAGTCTCCTCGCCTTTCCAAGTTCGGTCAATTTTAAAGTTTCAGTACCTGTACAAATGTATATATGAATAACTTGTTTGAAAATATGATATTAATTAATATATTCGTATTTATTTTGTTATTTTAAAATTTAATGCCATAATTAATACAGAGTGGTAGGAAAAAGAAAAGATATGGCAATTAAAATAACAGGAGCATTGATAGAGCCTAAAAAGGTTGAACAAATAAAATAGAGATCAGATTAAAAAAAAAAGGAGCTTAAGCTCAAAATGTAATACTTATTCGCCCAGTTCTTATCTAGTCCTTTGTTTGGTATAGCTGACCAATGACTAATCCATTCTAGAACCCTTAAAAGAAGTCTCCCTAACTTAAAGTAAATTGTTGTTTGAAAAAATATATAAAGCAGTTTTTATCTTTCAAACAAGCCATAAGTTCCATTTACTACTAACTTGTAGCTTTGTAAATTCTTTTATGTTCGTTATCATGTGCAGTACTACCTGTAACAAAAAAACAAATAAATTATATAGTTAATCTCACCTGTTTGGTATATTTATCCATAACAGTAACTCTAAAAATGAGATTTATTTGACCAATTAATGAATGCAAAATATAGTATAACATAATACCCACGTCTTTTAAAACCTTTTGTAGCTACCGCATTTAGTGAGCTTTAAAATGTAGAAAAGGCGTAAATAGGATGTTAAGATCTTAATTAGAAAAAAACTCGTTTCAGTGGAATGCCACGAAGTAAATAACCATGTAAAAGAGAACTACAGCTTCAAGCTGTAATTCAGTTTATCAATTACAGCAACACGAACTAGTATAGCATATTATCTATCGAGTCACAAGTATTTGTTACATTGAAACGTCAACAAATAGTAAGAAAAAACAGTTTTAAACTAATTTATTATATTTATCCATAACAGTTACTCAAAAAATAAGATAACTCTGACCAAATCATAAATTAAGTGTTTTTTTAATTTTTTGTCAATATGGTGTAAACAAAATAATATATAAAGAAAATTTTATCGTTCAATCAAATCATAAGTTCTATTTACTACTAACGAATAACTTTGTAATTACTTTTGGTTGTATTAGCAGGCAAAGGAATACCTGTAAATTAATAAAAAAACAATTATTTAGTTAATTAAACCCGGATTGATGTATTTATCCAGAACAGTTTCAATTAATCAATACCAAATATAGTATTAATATTAATTAACTATGGAAAAACTTCGGAATTACTTTTGGGTTTATCGGCACGGATACCTGAAACAATAATATAAAACAGTTATACAGCTACGTTAACCCGGTTGTTAAATATAACAACCGGGTTATTAAGGCTCCCCATATAAAAGTTAAGTTTTTAGTTATTATTGTGTGAACAAAAGAATTTGATAAGCAAATTGTATCTTTCAAACAAGCAATATTATATATTTACTACCATCTTTGTAAATGTTATTGTTTTCATCAGCATGCGCAGGAGTACCTGTAAAACAAATATTAAAACATTTTTTAGTTAACTAAACCCGGTCTGTTGTATTTATTCATCTCAGTTTCAATTAATCAATGCCAAATATAGTGTTGATTTTAGTCGATAAAGCCCCTTCCCCCCTCCGCTCAAGAAATAAATTAAAATATATGTGTAATACTGTTACACAAAAAAATTTATTTATCTCTAAAAAAAACCCACAAATTATCAATATAGTACAAATAAATTGATTATGTAATAAGTAATACTTTAAAATTGTATATTTATATTTACAACAAAGTTTTTTTGTAAGAATTTTTCTCGCATTATTAAATGTGGTACATTTTGAAATTCCATCACCTGCATAAATTTATAAATAAACTGGTTTATAATACAGTATTTAATAATATAATCGTATTTATGTTTTATTTTGATATTTAAATCACTAATACGCATTTTTTTCACAAATGTACAATAATATCGCATACAAAGTACAATATAGAAGTGCAATAATCAGTCAAACAATAATATCTTAAACGATGAACAAAAAACTGTACAGTATAGTTCAAAGTATAGTATTAACATTAAGCCGATGGCTCTTCAGGTCCTGTTAGCTACCGCATTTATACACAAAATATAGCGAAGGTATGTCCTACGAAGCACATAACCACGTAGAAGAGAATTATAGCTCCTAAAAATTTTCATTATAACCAAGGAGATGAGCCCAGTCAAAAAATCAAATAACTTCAGCTTGTAGGTTTCAATAATCCGCGGAAAAAGCAATACTAATGAAAATATATATCATGTCGTCTGCAAAAAAAAAGAACTTCTTGTTTTTGCAAAAGTCCCTCTAATGAGCTAACGAAATAAAGAGGACTAAGGTGGTCCCACTGATAGACGCTTGAGGAGATAGTAAAAAGTTCAGAAACCGCTCTGTTCGCTTTAGTGCATTGTTTCCTATCGGAAAGGTAAGATGTGAGGGGTTTCCAATGTCAAATATTAGCGTAGAGTACAATGACAAATGAAGCGTTATAAGTGCTACGAGTGCTATGATTCAACCAGCTCTTGATAGTATATCAAACAACAAGAACTAGTATCGTATTTTGTCTGTCGAGTCATAAGTATTTGTTAACATAAATCGTCAACAATCTATTACGTTAAAAATGGTATTTTGTTGCAAAATGTTAAAAATTGATAAACGCTGTTCCAAAAATTACTCTAAATATAATAGTTGTTAAAGTTATTATAACAGTAAGTCTCCCCAACTAAACTTTACTAAATTTTTTGTAATTACTTTTAGTTTTATCAGCAGGCATAGGAATTTCTGTAACATACATTTTAAAAAAATACAGTTTTAAACCCTTTTATTACATTGATCCATAACAGTTACTAAAAAAGGAGATAACTTTGACCAAACAATAAATTATGTGCTTTTAAAATTTACATAATTGTCAATACAATGTAAAAAAAATAATGTGTAAAGAAAATTTGATCGTTCAATCAAATCATAAGTTCTTTTTACTACTAATGAATAACTTTGTAAATACTTTGGTTTTCATCTTTAGCCGCCGGAATACCTGTAAAAATAATTTAGTTATTTAAACTCGGCTTGTTTATTTATCCATAACAGTTTCAATTAATCAATGCTAAACATAGTATTAATATTAAATAACTGTTGAATAACTTTATAATTACTTTTGGGTTTATCAGCACGGATACCTGAAACAAGAATATAATACAGCTACGTAAACCCAGTTGTTATATTAATTTATAACAGTCACTCGAAAAAAAAAATTACTTTGACCAATAAGTCAATGCAAAATGTTTTATTTATATAAAATTAATCTCTAGCAAGTAGCAACGTTCTTTACAATGAATTTAATAATATTCTATTTTTTTTTGTAATTGTAATAAAGTTGTATAATTGTATTTTATTATTATTTTTAATTTAAATTAATTCTGTCTTCCACAAAATTTCTCGTGAACTGTTATTTCTTGATGAACCTAATTATATTCAGAACACTTTGAAATCGTTTAAAAAATTTGTTTGAAATACCTAGAATATGTAATAATCTAATATTTTTTTAGTTAGTTTCCATTTACGTTTTAAGATGCTATTGGCCTTAGAAAGTTGATTATTAAAAAACTGATAATTTTATATTCACCTATTATATTAAAAATTTGTTGTTGCAATCGATCTCTTTCTGTCATAATGAATTCTAAATTTGAAAATAAAATTAAGTTGCATGTATCCCTATATTTTCTTGTAATAGAAACTAATATTGTACATATAATTCTTTGTGAAGCATAATAAATATAAAAATTATAATAAATATAAGTGCTAATCGATTACCTTGTAGTAAGTCAAAGTTGAGAGTTTTTGCATGTTCTGAAATTAAAACGAAAAATTTGTGTACTTAATGATTATCAAACGACTGTGCAATAATATGTTTAAAAAATTCGATGTAAAGTATTACCCGGTACAGTGAACATTTGGTTTAAATAATATGAAATTAGCAATATAAAAATTGTTGGTTATATAAATTGAATTGAATTTATGTTCTATCATAAGTTAGAGAAGAAAAGTTAAGAAAAAATATATGTGTATTAGTAATTCGGAACAAAAAACTTAGCTAAAATAAATTCAAAATCTAATAAAATTACTATGTATTAATTGAATCATATGGCGGAGTAGAATAAGATCAAATAAGTTTATTATCACTGAACATTATCCTTAACCCTTTCACTATCCTGGGTGTTGTATACTTAACTGTAGAAGAATACAACTCAACTTTAGAATTAATAAAAGAAGTTTATTATGAAACGCTATAACAGCAATGACAAGTAATTATTTTCAATATTAGCGTACGCCGTGAACAGTCCCCACTGCGTACACATTAATTAGTGTTATCTGAATAACCATATTATAAATATAACAATATAACAATATACAGTATAACAATATACAACACTGGGCATGCTATTATGCTACAATTAATTAAATAATAACGAAACCTTTTTCCAGTATGACGATGGTTGTGACATGTTGCAGTGTGTAAAACACAATAGCAGTGAAACGGTTTAAGATATATTTTTGTTGTTAATTGTACACATTTCTTTTATAACCAAGATTTTTTTTTGTTATCACATAATTATTATTACTTATTGCCCAGTGATCTGCATTTATCATGACTGTAAGTACATGCTCCAATCCATCTAGAACAATCAAATACAAGTTCGACCTTTAGAAAAGTTCCAAATAAAATTAAAATTAATAAAAAAAAATCATTAGAAAAAATTACCCCTGTTAAGTAAATAATCAATTTTTAGAGTCAAGTGTGCTCATAGTAAATTATAGTAACTTTTAGTAAAGGCTCGTGCCCCCATGAGACAGTGCACAGATCCAATCAAAAATATAAAACTACCACATTTTGAAGATGCCACTCCCCTCACGTATTCAGAAGTTTTGTGCTGGCAATTTTTTACAAAATCTTAAATTAAAGACAATGTTAAGTTTCATAACTTTCAGGTGATAAAGGTAATTTTTTTGTAAGACAATTATTGGAGGCGCTGTATCATGAAAGCCAAACTCGTTTTATTATAACAAAAAATTGCATGGGCGGCATCCTCTTAAGTATAAAAATAAATTTATATTTTATTTACAAGTAATTTGACACCTAGGCAATCATTGTAATACAATTATATATTAGTACATTGATTATTATCTTACTTTTTATATGATCATCTTTATAGTCAGAAGCTTTATTAATTTGTATGTCTGTAGTAAATGTTTTAAAAAAAATAAGTATGTGTAAAATTAGTGAAATTTAAAAACTCTCAAAGTTAGTCTATATGATTATAAAATATAACTCACTTGAAATTTCAACCATCTCTATATATTCCACTGTAAAGAATAGTTAAATATTAATTTTTTTTAGATTTTCATCTACATTGTGTGCTTAAGTATAAAAAAAATACTTACTTATACTTGTATCTGCCAAAACATTTACGCAGATTAGTGATATTAAAACATAGGCAATTTTCATTTTTATCTAGAAAAATTAATAAATATAAATGCAATTTATATAAGGCTCGGGTCTTCCGGAGTAGTCGAGATGAGAAAGTTTTGGTTTTAAAATTTGTTTTATACATATTTTATGATTTTTGACTAGAGATAACTTAACCTAACCGAAAAATAGTTTTTTTTTATTTATCTAATTCGTGTCTTTTAGGATTATTTGAGTTAATTTCAATTACTTGAGTGGGATATTGACATTTTTTTGTCTTAGCATATACACGGAAAAATCGACACCATTTACAATCGACTCCGGTTATCATAACGAAAAAATCAGCTGATTAATCCGATTAGATAGGAGAGATAAGAGATAAGATATTAGCGATATGTTTTTACCAAGTACTATACATTACAATACGGGACAGTCAATGATAAGAAATCGCGACATAGCCCCACGAAATCGTAGTGGTTAAGTGAGACGTTTAGCACACCTCGGATAAATGTCTACCTCGTTGGACCAACAAGTAAACCTTGAGAGAGATGTGAGTTATTGATTAAGTAGCGATTTATGGCAGCTGGTCAAAGTTTAAAATCGCTCCCCTGTAAAATCATTGAAATCTACTTACACACTTATTCACAGTTGTTACACATATATCCTTCTATAGCCTTATATATCCTTCAAATGAGGGTGGTGATGGGGATGTGGCTGGCAATGGTGGCGGGGATGTTAAATTTTTTTAATTATGTGTTGTTTTCACAACGAACAAACTTTAATAAATAGTAAAAAAGATTCAAAAAAACCAAGTGAATGTTTTGCCGATTAAGGTTAATTATTAACATTCTCGTTTTGGTTTTAAAATTGTTTTAGATGTATGATTTTTTTTTATAGTTATCTTTTAAGAATACGTTTTGCACTAAATTTCCCATTGCAAAACGTGACTAAGCAAAATGCTTGTTACTCTCAATCCATGCTTTTATAGCAAATATTTTTATGATATAATCGAAAAAGAATAATATATTTGATGAAACGTTCTTAGAAAATTTATATTTTAAATTAATAAAAGTACAAGATGAAAAATAGCTTAAACTTAAGGTGTATTTTAAAGATACAATTTTAAAAAAATGTTTCATCATAAATGCTCATTTAAATTTCAAAAACATTATGTTTGTCAATATTTCGGCAATACAGAAAAATAAACTTGTTAGTTTATTTACAAATCTGTTTTTAGCATCGATGCCGAGCTAGTATTGTTATGGTGTGTGTTTTTTTTTGTATCTGCAAACACGATACCATGTGTGACTATGGCCCGATTTTCATTAGATAGTCGAAATTATATGTGATTGGGTCAAAAGTACAAAAAAATCTAAAGATCCGTCTTTTATTTGATACACTAACAATTTTGATAATGGTAATCATTTTTTTTTTTTTATACTAATTTTAACTTGTGTTAATATATAATTGATACCACAGAATATCAACATTGGCTTGTGCTTATATATTTACTTTTAGTCTACATTTATTCGAAAAAATGCAAACCAGTAGATAATTTGTTCTGATATTATTATTTTTTAAAATGTGTACTTATATTTTTAATAAAATTATATTTGGTACTTCAACGAGATATGAAAATGCTCTTTCGTGATTGCAGACTTGGATGAAAAATGTTTCCTATATTTTTAGGTGCTTGTATATTCTACTATAGTTTTCAACACATAGAGAATTGTTATAATAATTTAATATGGTTTTAAATAAATAACTACATAACATGTATCTCACATAAGATGGATTACCCGGTATAAGGTTTATTTAGAGTATCTGCGGTATGGATGAAAACTTTTACCATAAACAAAGCAACAAGAAACTACGAATAATGGTAAATTTTTTTAAAATTACAACTACGTTCTAAGTACATTTTGTTTATCCATATATTGGCAATACAGTAAAATAAAAACATATTTTGCAGCGCATCTTTGTTAGTTTATTTACAAAACAGTTTTTTAGCACTGACGCCAAGCTAGTATTCCTATGGTGTGTTTTTTTTTGTACCTGCAAACACGATACTATGTTTTTCTATGGCCTGATTTTCATTAGATACTCGAAATTATATGTGATTGGGTCAAAAGTATAAAAAATCGAACGATCCGGCTTTTATTTGATACTCTAATAACTTTGATAATGGTAATTATTTATTTTTTAATACTAATTTTAACTAGTGTTATCATATAATTGATACCACAGAATATGAACATTGGCTTGTGCATATATATTTAATTTTAGTCTAAATGTATTCGAAAAAATGCAAACCAAAGGTAATTTGTTCTGATATTATTATTTTTCAAAATGTATACTTATAGTTTAGTAAATTAAAAATATGAGGTAAAAATAAAGCTTGAACTTTGAAATAAATTTTAAATATATAAAATCAAAAATTTTGCATCATGGACACAAATTTAAAATATAGATACATATTATGTTTGTATTTAAATGACAATTATTATATCTATTCAAACAATTTATCATAAACTAAGCAACTACGAAAAAATGGTTTTTTTTATTTAAAATTACAACTATATTCAACTTCTAAGTACATTTTGTTTAGACATATTTCGGCAATGCAGTAAAATAAAAACATATATTGCAGCGCAATGTTGTTAATTTATTTAAAAAAACAGTTTTTTAGCACCGATGCCGAGCTAGTATTCCTAGGGTGTGTGTTTTTTTAACTGTAAACACGATAATATGTTATTCTATGGCCCGATTTTTATAAGATACTCGAAATTATATGTGATTGGTTCAATAGTAGAAAAAGTCTACTTAATCACGCACAGAATCGATAAAAATCTAAAAAAAAAATTATTAGTTTTTCAACTTTTGACGTTAGCTTTCTATAAAATAGCGGAAAACTATCGAATTAAGACAAAATTTTAATAAAATGTTTATCAGGCATGTCCCTATTCTCAGGTGTCCTTAAATCCAAATTTAAATAATTCTGCACTCCCTGCAGGATTTAATTTTTAAAAAAATGGTATTTAGTTTTAAAACTGATTTAAAATAAAACAATTTAAAGAAATTTGGATTTATATGTTTAATATAACAAGAATAAATTATAATTTTGTATATTATTATTAGATAAACGTGTTTAAAATTCATCTATTTCTGTTTGAAAGCGTACTTACAGCTTTTGAAGTCTGATAGTATTACTTGGAATAGTTGATTAAATGTTATCGAAGGTCTAATGCGGAAAAATAATTAAAATTCATTAAAACATTATAAAAGTTTACAGTTTTACCAGTTTACAGATATTTACATTAATCTAAAGCGGAATATAACTAAGTTTGCATCAACATGTTTTTGTGTGACTCAGAATAATAAACCAACAAGCACCAATGCATACAGTGTGAATCACATTGTCAGTAATACTTAAGTAACCATTTTAGTAGCTCGGTGACGTTATTTCTGGGATTCATTTTGTTTACATTAATCTGAAGCGGAATATAACTTATGTATATATATAAAGTATATGAGTACTGAAAAATGTATGGTGATACTATTGAGTTTGCAACAACATGTTTTTATGTGATTCAGAATAATAACACAACAAGTACCTATGCATACGATGTGAATTGTTATATATAATATATAATTATAGCACAAAACACTTGTTTAACAAACAAATCGTTTTTATGTATACAACGTTTAACCCTTATTAAAATTAAAGTATAAACCTAAGACTGACTCTTTAAGTGTGAGGGGTAAAAAACAATAATATGAACAGTTGAGATCACATTCTTATTAAACCCTATGAAATATTCAGTGGTTCATGTTGAAATCATTACCCTGAATTGGACATTATTTGACATTGGTCAAACTTTTTTCCTTAAGGGGAAAAAAATCTGAAAATTAAATTTGACGGTAGTAAATTTTAAGTTTAACCAAACCACAACAAAAATTAAAGATCTAGTAATAATTTTTATAAAAAACTAATTTCGGGCTGATGTGTAAGGAAGGTTAAGAATATCATCATTTGATAAAGTAAGGCAAAAATAGAGAGAATATAAAATTATAGAAATAGTAGGAATTGTAAGGTATAATGTAGAAAAACAAATCGTTAGCAGTTTCTAATAACATAAGGTTGAAATAAACTTTATAACGCAAGTTGAATGCATATTATATTAATAATACAAGTTATAAGTGTTCTGCATGCATTTGTATGACTAAAAGGGTGAAATAACATTATTTATATTGTTATGTTATGTGATAATACAGGGGTGATTAACTTATCTTAAACCACTCAATATCTTTCTGAGTTAAATAAGAAATTTTATTTATTCTTTACGTAGTGTTTTTATGCAATGGGGTCTCAATTTATCCTTACTTTTTTTTTGTTTTAACCCCCTTCCAGCTCACGTTTTTCTGATAACAACTTTTAAAATTTAACGCATATATTTCATAAACTTTTCAAATTGAGAATAATGTACTAAAAATTTTCTGAAGTTCAATTTTTTGTGGATTATTTTTAGGTGCATTTTTCCCGGGGATACATTCAGCGTTATAGCAACGTTGTACGTTTATTTACAAAGCTGTTTTTTAGCATCGACGCCGAGCTAGTATTCCCATAATGTTTGTTTTTTTTTTATCTACAAAATCTTATTCATTATTCTTAGACAAACATATTTAAAATTCATATATCTCTGTTTGAATGCATACCAACAACGTTTGAAGTCTTGTAGTACTAATTACCTATGGATTTGATGTATACTAACCAGTTATTGAATTCACAAAAACTAAATCCGTCGTAGAGGCGGTGGGGCATATTAGACACGGGGTTTATGAGGTACTAATCCTAATTTTCAATACATTTTTTTTATAAACGTTTTATAAGCGTTAATTTTAAAGTGATTTTATCCTAGAGGACTAGTACTGTGGAGTATAGGCATAATGGAATCAAACCATAGATAGCACAGAGAGGTCACAAGTCAACAGATTGCTTTGATGCTTATTTGCAAATACAGCACCTCATTTTAATACTTTCTAAC